TATTATTATTATAAATTTGTTAGAACAAGGAGATACATGTTCTAAAGGACACGTAGGTCCATGCAAAAAATGGACACTAACAGCATGCCCTTACAAAAACTAAAAATGTACTATCACAAAAATGTAACAATCATAATAAACAGTGTATTTTTAAGTTGGATGAGTTTTTTTTAATATAGAAATATTTTTTGAGTGTACAGCATCTAAACTATTGCATATGTCAGCAACTCTGTAGGAAAAACTATACTTTTGAGTGTCTAAACGACATTATTGTTTTCAAATTTTATAAATATGACAGCGATATGTAGTTATTGCTGTCAATATCGAAGAACATAAAACTTTTAATACAAACAAGATTTTTAAAAATTTTAAAATGTGTTACTAAGCCTTGCTTTAGGCGCCTAACTTCAGGTGAGTCCAAACCAAACAATTGGAGACGGTCATAATAAGTTTTATTTTTAAGGTTTCTAATTTTCTTTGCAAATTTTTTTTGAACACTTTCTATTGATTTAACTAATCCAATTCGGTATGGTGACCAAACTGGAGAACAATATTCTAGAATTGGTCTTATATAGGTAGTAAAAGCTTTAATTAAAATAGAAGACTTGTGAGTTTTAAAACATTTTAAAATTAGGTATGCTCTGGAGTTAGCTGGATGTACAATATTTGCAATATGTTTATTGCAGCTAAGATTAGAGTCCATCATCACTCCTAGATCATTTGGGTTGGAAGACCAAGCTAAAGTATAATCCCCTAGACTATAGTTACTTTTTATACCTTTAAATACATATATATACATATATACACACACATATACATATATATACATATATATATATATATATATATATATATATATATATATATATATATATATATATATATATGTGTGTATGTATGCATATATAACACATAAAAATTAACCTTAATTCCAGAGTTTGTATCTAAGTTGCCAACAATGTAAGGATCAGTTAAATCAAATGATTCTTCCCTACGATGAATATCTAGGTATAATTTCCTAAAAAAAAATTAATTATATTTTTAAATAATAAATGAATACACCTTTTCTTCTAAATATTGACTGGTTTTTTTATTGTTTTTTATTTTTTTATTATTATTGAAGTTTAAAAACAGGTCAGCTGCAAAAAGATTATTTTTATCAATCTTATTACTTTTTTACTATAGACATTTTCACAAATTCTAAAGGAGAGAGGTGTTAAAAAAAGTAAGAAAAAAAAAAAAAAAAAGATTTTTTTATTACAAAACATATATGTTTTAAAATATATTTTTGTGATAAAAATTTAATATTATTTTATAATGTTGCAATGTGTCTAAAAATATTTTGCAAATTGCAAAACCATATCTTATGCAATGTTTACGATATAAGAACCCAATATAAATAATAATAATAATATAAATAATCCTAATTTTAAAAAGATTTGAAATAGCATGTATTAAAATATATCAAATTTTATATACACCTATATTGTTTATAATTTGTATATATACAATATACACATAAACATATGAAATGACAAGTTTTAATAGGGACAGGTATCTACAAATGTAAGAGACAAACATCTGCAACAGCATAAGAATTTTGCTCAATTGTCTTTTTCGTCTTCATCTAAAAAACTTGTCAAACCATAAAAAACTGAAGCAAATTACTATTACATTTTTATAATATACTATATAGTGTTATAAGAAACTCTATTAGTCAAAACATCTGATTGCTGTAATATAAAAAATTTTATTACCATGATTCTATAAATCTCCTTGAAATATTAACTAACAAATATTAATAAAGTTTATGACAAAATTTATTTTCAAAAAAATTTTATTCATATAGTTATATAGTTCATATAAATATTATAAAAATAAAAAAAAACTGTGAAATGTCTTACAAATAACACAAGAAAAATGTTTTGAATGCAATTCAAAAAGAAATTTGCTTTTTTAAACAATTATGATTATAAAAAAAAAGGCTTTATTTTCACTCTCTAATAATTTAAAACCATAGAAAATAATTTACTATGACATAATAAAATCATTAATTTTTAAATTTAAAAAAACAATAGTTTTAGATTTTATTAATAGTTTTAGATTTTATTAAGCTTTAAAAAATACTATTACTTCAAGAATGACTTTGCATTATAAAAATTCACTGATATTATTTGCAATCAAAAAAAAAAAATTTCATAAATTATAAGTCATATAACTCAATTGTTTATTAAATATAATTGGCTAATACTGAAACTTGCATATAAAAAAATCATTTTTTTTTTAATACTAAAGATTGCTCTTTTTTGTGTAAACAGACTTTTTATAAATAGACATATGTATTAAATGGCTGTTAGCAAGCAATTACTTCATATTAAAGTATAATGAAATGTTCTTAGAAATTATAAATTTTATGCTTTGAGGAAATAATGATTTAAAAAAAAAAATTTTGTACATCAAAAGATGTTGTTTGCCTTGAAACTGAAAAACAATAATAAAATTATTACTTTTAGAATTAAATAAAAAAAATAAAATTTGTCTCAAAAATCAAATAATACAAACAATTTTGTAATTAATTTTGTAATGAAATTAAAAGGTAGAACTATCTTGTTTTGACTGAATCTCAATTTAATAGAATTCAATTGACAAATCAGTTCCTATGCAATAAAGCAATCTATTATTGCTCAATATTCTTTATGCATCCCTGCAACCAAACTTTACTAAATATGCAATATTTTGAAACCCATAATTGTTAAATATACTCTTTTGGATTTATTTAGACCATTATTATTCATCACAATTTTATACAATCCTACATCTCATCAATGGGAAAAATATTCTTTTACAAACAGTGTTTAAAATAACAATGGAAGTGCATTTAACCTTGTTAAACACTTTTCCATGGTTTTCTGGTGTTCAAGTTTATATTTCTTTTGATGTCTTTCTTACTGTTGTGTATTTAATCTTAATAACCTATAAGCTCAATACCCTAAAAACCTTTCCATCTCTCAAATAACAATCACAAATAACAATCTTAAACATAATAACATGTAATCTAACATGCTAATATTTTTAGGCTTGTAACAAAGAAGTTAAACTCGATTTTTAAACAAACAAATTTCTTTAACATAAAATATTTTTACTAACTTTATAAACTTTTTATTAAGTTATACAAGATTTATAAATGTTTACATAAATATTTATAAAACATTAAAAAATTGTACAAACCATACAGTTGCTTAGCAACTGCAGCAGCAACAACACTCTCTTTCTTGATGTAATGTGGTTTATTTTGCATTTTTTCTTTTTTTTTTTCTAATAAATAAAGTTACAGCTTAATAGTTAAAAAATTATTTAATAAAAAATTATTTAATAAAAAATTATTTAATGAAGAATTATTTAATAAAAAATTATTTAATAAAAAATAATTAAATAAAAAATTATTTAATAAAAAATTATTTAATAAAAAATTATTTAACAAAAAATTATTTAATAAAAAATTATTTTTTTTTGCATATTTTAATAAAAAATTATTTAATAAAAAATTATTTAATAAAAAATTATTTTTATTGGAGTAAAATTAGCTAATTATCTAAATATATACAATGAACTATATATAAAATATATTGTTTATTTCTTATCTATTTTTTTATAATGTAAAGTTATTTAAAAAGTGATGTGAAAAATATTACAATTAACAACTTGTTAAGCAAAAAACAATGATTTTAGGTGAAATTCTTTATATAATTTGAATTAAACATTTAATTGATGCACAATTTGGTTTAACAAATTCTTTAACATGTGTAGTTTAGTGTGTAGTTTTAAAATTTTGGTCACATTTCCTTAAGTTCAAGGTAATATACCTTTATATAAACTAATGGATAAATTAATAAAACTACCTTATTCTGATGTGTCTCTCTGCTACTTTCTATTTATTTTAATTTTTATTCAAAACAGGTTATACGACAAATTTTTTAACTAGAAGCTAAATGTTTTGGAATCAATTTTAATCTTAAAATTTTTTGAGACTATAAATATTTACTGACTGCAACCTATTTTTGAGACAACTTTTATCTGGGAATATTCTTAAACTTTTAGCCTGATGTCTCTAAATTGGACTCAAGGACACATGCTTCAGAACTTAAAAATCATTAAAGGCTGTAGATAGTTTTAACATTTTCACATAACTATTACTCTGTAAATTTCAATATGAAAAATTATCTCATTAAAAAAAAAGAATATAAAGCAACTCAAAACAGCTAAATAATAAACTAAAGAATGTAACACCTGAAGCTAGCTGTAATCAAAAGAAGTATGGTTGTTAAATGCAATAATTGTAAAACAGAACATTATCCAGACATATCCATTAAAAATCCAAAATGTACAAGAATTTAAAATCTACTTGTTTTTACATAGAAATTTTATTTCCAAAAAGATTTCTAATGCTTCTTGGTTTATTTTTTGATCTTGATCTTTGTATGATATACAAAATTGATACTAATTTTAACTCTGTATGATATGTGAAAATATTTTTTTAATGTAAAATTTTAAGTTTCAATAATTAAATTAAATTACTTTTAATCAATTAGTTTCAACATATTGCACGTGAGACACATGCTAGTTTGTTTTCAGATGATTGATGCTTGAGCGCGAGCCATGTAACCCTAATCCATACAGCTTTTTTTTAAAAAGAAGAAAAAATACGAAGAATAATGAATGAAATGATTGCTGCCCCACCCCAAACCCTCAGTCGATGTAGCAGCACTCCACTGCGAGTCAGGCTATTTGTCAGTTGATGTATGTACTGAAGCCCCCAGCAGCAGGCTATTTCAGTATGACGTCAGATTGCTTACCTTAGTATGCAATACTATTTGTATATATATATATATATATATATATATATATATATATATATATATATATATATATATATATATATATATATATATATATATATATGTATACATATATATATATATATATATATATATATATATATATATATATATATATATATATATATATATATATATATATATATATATATATATATATATATATACATATATATATATATATATATATATATATATATATATATATATATATATATATATATATCTAATGTTAATTATGATTTAGACATCTAGATTTGATGATTCTAATATCTTTGATAATTAAAGATATCCTTGTAATATTAATACAAAGCTTGCGTTGATTTTGTAATAAATTCAAATTATATTCCAATGACTAATAGCCTATTACTTACTAGATAATAAATTTAAATTATATTCCACTTACTAATAGTGATAATAATAAGTGGAATATTAATAAGAGGAATATTAATAAGTGGAATATAATTTAAATTTATTACAAAATCGATACAAAAATTCTTCATGCATTTATACAGATACACATGTTAGAAACAAAATAATATATTTCTATTTACATTCCCTTGGGTCCTAAGAAATTTTTATATGTAAGGTACTACTTTTCTCTTTGCTTTAATGAGTGATAACGATCGAATATATAAGGCTGAATCAGAATCTTATAAAAATGTAGTTCTGAAAATTTACGGAAAGTTTTTTAATTTACTGTTAAAGTTTAAAAAACAACATTAGAAACGCTGATATTCGCCATCTTTTTAACACTCAGTTGCGAATAAATTCAATTTCAATGTTCTAAAAAATTGTTTATTTTATTAAAAAAATATTATTTCTTTTAAGGTTAAAAATGTTTTAAAAGTTGTTAATTTAGATTACGTCGCTTTTGTTTTGACCAAGAAAGTTGAATAAAATTAGACCCCTCTCTCCCACCCCAGTGCCGAAGAGGGGAAGTCGCGAGGGATAGTTTGTCCCGGGCGGCAGATATCGAAGGGGTGCCAAATGAAATGTAGGTACCTAAAAAAAATTAAGGGAAATTTGATAATTAAGGGCGCCAACCAGGATTGCTGTCCCAGACTGTGTGACAGCTCTCAGCCACCCCCTAAAATTACGCTACAAATTTGTATTTGTATTTGTGCGCGCAAATTTTTACTGTTTTTGACCAAAAAGGTTTAATGAAATTGGACCTCTCTCTGTGCCATAACCTCACACGGTTGAATAATGTAGACTCCTCTGCGCCTAATTAGAGGAGTCTACATTATTTAGCCGACTTTAAAAATTGAGTTAAACTGACTTAAATAAATTAGAATTTATGCAGTGGAGTTTATATACATTAACTTGGGGTTTATTTTTGGGTAAGCACTCTTTAAATCAATAAAAAGATTTTCTTAATCTAAAACTAAAAAAAAAATGTTGCATTACAAAACCGGATACCATTCCCTTTGTAACAAATCATCACATCATTAATAAATAAAAAAAGAAAAAAATAAGAAATAAATAAGTCGAAATAATAAAATTTTAAATAAAAAAAAAACAAGAAATAAATAAGTCAGCCAAAATAACACGATCAATCAATCTAAATTTACAGTCGACTGATTAAACATAATCGAGCAACGGTTTTTTAAAAAAAAAACTGGACTGTTAAAGGATTATAGATAATTGCAAAAGTTTATTTTGAAAAGGTTCAGGTGGGAATAAATAGTTCTTAGTTATAGGGTTTTTTAAATATAAAATTAACTATAAACAATAAGCTAAATAATGGAAAATATCATATAAATCATCCAGAAGAACTTATAACAAATGCTAAAAAGCAAAAGAACGTATGTTTTAAAGCAAAAGAACGTATTTGTTAAGTATTTCTTAAGTATTTGTTAGTTGTGATAAATTAGAAAAACAAGAATTAACTAAGAATATATATACTTTTTGACACGCACTCACTTTTATATTCAACCCCTCATCCCCCCCCCACCACCACCACCACCACCATACGCTTTTGTACGCCTTTTATAAACCCCCTCCCCCTATGAGCAATCGTTTTTTATGGGCAACCCCTTAAATAGAAATTAAAAAATGACTAGTTATTTTTTGACTCATTTTTTAAATTCAAATGCGATTAAACGATGTGCTAAGTTAGTCAATAAATTAATTTTGAATGTCTATATAAGAGTTTCTGTTTATATTTAATAAATAATGGCTGAGTTTAAAGACTCATGATTAAACTCAATCATTAACGGAAGATGATTTATATGTAATTATAAACTATAGTAAATTTTTATATAATTAACTATAGAACAAAATTAGTGTATATTTTTTTAACTAGACCATACTGTTGTAGTATTATGTCGGAGTTCTTACAAAATAATTACAGGAATTTTTTCATATTTATATGAATAAAAGTTAAAAGTATATTAGTATTAAATATTGCACAGCATTACACTATAACACAATGTAAGTTATTATTACAGATAACAATGTATTACAGGCCAATGTGATTCATTTAGAATAAATAGTGATCGAGCAACATGTAATTATGAACAATAGTGCAGATTTTATTAAGCTATCCCAGCGGGCATTTGTTTTTAAAAGTTACGTTCTAAATGTATTTTAAATGTTTTTTAAACGTCTTTTAAGCATTCTTACGTAAAGAACGTTTAAAAGACGTTTAAAAAACGTTTAAAAGACATTTAGAACGTAACTTTTAAAAACAAATGTCCGTAGGGATGTTTAATTATTATTACAGGTTTATTCTTTATGATAATTTAAATACAACTATTTTATACGAAACATGTAAAACTTACGCGCACTAATATAAAGAAGTGTAAGTATACAAGTAGCTAATTGTAAATAACAAATAACTAATACGCAGGGGCGTCCAGAGTCATACCTCTTCGCGACGACCCTCCTAATACGCACTATTATTTATATAAATAAATAAAATATATAGGCTAACGACAAACTATAATTTACCTTTTACTATAGTTTGCTATAATAAAAAAAATAAACAAAAAGCAAACTTGTGTTACAGTTTAAAATACTATAAAGACAATTAATTCAAAGTAACAATTTGAATGACTGAAAATAAAATTGTTAAAAAATTAAAAAAAATTATGCTAAAAAACTATATTATAGATTGGCATTTAAAAATATATATCTTTTGATTTTGTATTACTCTAATTGTTTTTAACACCTAAAATACTTTTTCCAATGTTTTGCTCAACATGAAAAAAGTATTTTGCATATTTTATTGCTATTATACCTAAATATAACTTTGTGAATTAATATTTGAAAAAATTCTTACTTTTCTTGTTCTAAGTAAATATGACAAATAGGTTATTATTAATTGAAAATAAACTTTGTATCTTTTTTGATCAGCGAATTTCTTTCGCCGTTTCAAAAGCATCGGTTCAAAAAATGCACACTATTCAGTTTGACATTAATAATTAAGATACCAAAAATAGTAGTATTTGTTATTATTTTAAAAAATTATAATAATAAAAAATATTTAAATCAATTAATGAAAAAAAAAACCTGCGCATATAAAATATACAATAATTTAAATTAGATTTCAGTGGATATTTCTGCTTCAATAAAAAAAAAAAACTTAAAAATACTGTTGGTATTTTTATAGTAGATACGTTATTATACATTTTTATTACCAATCATGTGATTTTCTTGTGAGTAAATTTCCATTTACCTGTGTAGATTGTGGCCCCATTATTATTATCAGGTTAAGACATTTTAAAACCCTAACTAACTGACACTAACACTGCCTTTATTAACCTTCTCCCATACAAATAAACAATTTTTTAAGATAAAATATTATCTTTAACGCACAAAAAAATCTAGGAAATGTTTTTTTAATAATGGTGGTCATGTTTCCAATTATTTTTATAGGCATATGTCAAAATTAAAATAAAGTTGACGATGTTCGCGTTTTTCTTGAATCAAAACTTGAGTTTGAGATCAGTCGTTCTCCACGAGAGTCATTTCGTGAAAGCATTGATTGAGTGGTATTTTGCATAGTACTCCAATTATGTATTTTATTGCAGCATAAGGAAAAAGCATTAGCAATATCTTTTTTAAAAGAGGCATGCAATATGCTGTATATAATTGGGTTTACAATGCTGTTGCACATTTGCAGCAATGCCAGAATATCATAAATACTTTTCATAATCTGCGTCGGATGATTTTGTCCATAAAACAAATACCACATAAAAAAAATATTTGCTGGTAAAAAGCAAATGTAAAAGATGAGCACTATCGTGAAAATCATTTTTGTTACTTTTTTATTTTGTTGTAGTCTATGATTTAAAGTCCCATTTTTTTTTTTTAGTTCTAATATAACTGCTGAGTAGAGAATAGTCATCAGTAAAATTGGAATAAAACACTGAATGCAAACAGCTGTAATAGAAAATTTGATGTAGTGATTCTGTTTCATAGAATTAAAGCATGTATAAACATTATCTGCATGAAGTTTCAGCTTAATATTTTTATCAATAAGATAAAAAAATCCTAATCCTGCTGCTGCTAACCATACAGATGTTACTGTTAACAAACTACATATGTGTGGTCTCTGGTTTATTAACCACTTTATGCTGATAAATTGATCTATTGATACTGCAAGTAAGTTTAAAGCTGACGCAGTCATGCTTGTTAAACCTATAAAGGAAATAACCTTGCAACCATTGTGACCAATGTGATACAAGCTGATGTACAATAAATCGAAAATAGTTTTAACAGGTACAACGGTGGAGTTTAAAAAGTCAGCAAGAGCCAAATTGAACAATAAAATTTCCCATGATTTCAGATTTGACCATTTTAAACCAAATATCATTAAAACCAAACCATTTCCAATAACTCCAAGGGTAATTACTGCAATACAAACTGTAAAAGAAACAAACCGCAAAGCTTGCGGTACCTCTGTAGGATGCAAAGCACTGAGTGTAACATTACTTTCTAATGTCAAGTTCATTTTAATTATGAAGATTATTTGGAGACTAAAAAAACGTAAATAAATTTTAATCAAGATAACTTTATTCAAATAGGGTAGATTAAGGTAATATGAGCATCTGAAACGAAAATTGGAATATTTTTAAAAATAATTATGCTGGATCCAAAATTTTTGCAATTAAACAATTTTTAGGGATCCCTACACATGATTCACTTAGATATTTGAGTACCCGAAATTTTTTCTTAGAAAGACAGAGGTTTTAAAAAAGTACCAAAAGTGCTCATTTTAACCAGACCACTTGGTAATATGAACACTTTAAATTAGCTCGAAAAAATAACATTAAGTAAAAAAAATACCAACCTGACAATTAGAACTAATTTTTGCAATATAATGATTCGTTATTAAAAAAAAACTTATCATTAAAAGATCAAATTTTAAGCCACTTTTTTTTTCAGTCAAAAAAAAAAAATATTTCCTTATTTTTTTAATTTTATTAATTCAAACCTTTCAACAATTAAAATTCAAAGTTTGTTTAATTTAAATTAACAAAAAAATATTTATTATTGTTAAAATATTAAAATTTTCCACTATGTTTTGTTTTTATTCAAAAAGCAATTAAAACCACTGCTATTTTAGAACTTTAAACTAGGTAACCAATGAAAAACACTGGGTAGTTTAAGCATGCTCATATTACACAAAAATGGTGTCTTTATGCATTGTTTTTCAAACAAAAATGGGTTGGAATATTAGCTAACGTATTTTTCTATATAAAAAAATTAATTGATATTATTTCAACTATTCAAAATATTTAACAGCGTTTTAATTAGATGATAGCCGCTAATTACTGCATATAAATTTACGCTAATTTTACTGATTCCTGTTATCTCCACATAAAGTTGATTCAAAAAATACAACGCAACTTTAACTTCACTTCTTCTATGTAAGAAATCTTTAAGTATTCTCATATTACCAAGGTGCTCATATTACCCTAATCTACCCTATAGATAATTTTTTTTTTTATATTTTATATATTTTACAAATAAAGATTAGATATAGTATTAAAAATTATCAAAGTAATGGCTAAAACGAAGTTTTAGTTTTTGCACAAAATATTTAATCAAATATCTATTACTATTACAATTATTTTTCTCTAATATTTATAATATACTAATTAAATAAAAAACTAATCATGTCTGAACTATTAAAATTTTACAAATTTACAACAATTACAAATAAAACAACAATAATATGAATATAAATGAGTACTTTCTAAGATCTATTTATAAAAATAACTACCAAATAAGTATTTATAAGATCATTCTTCAAGCAAGAATATTCTATAACATATCACAACATACTTTACCAACTATTAGAAACGCCTGATAAGAAAATTATTTCTTAGAAAATTTTTTTCGTCATATTGTATCCAAATATCATTCAAAATATGTTGCAAAATCAATATTAATTGCATATGAAAAACTAGGTGTTGCATCTTCAGCAAGCACTAAAAGCATTTCATCTATAAAAAAGAATCAAACCAAGAAACGACAAATATATAAATATCAAGCTTATCAACTTATAGATTATAGAAAAAAAAAAGCCGTAACCAGTTTCTGCTATGTCAAGCATGCCAATATAATAATGACTTTTGCAAAACAGTATTTAATTGAATTGCAGAGAATTAAATTAATTCAAGTATTAAATCTTTAACAAACTAATAGAAGTGTAAAAAAAACTTTTAATTTATTATTTTATACAATTATTATCAGATTAAATTATTATCTGATAATAACTAATAAAATAAATGAGCAATTATTGCACATGCCCCATGCCGTACTTCATCAAGTACTCCAGAATGCTGTTAAATATTTCGTTAGCGACAAGGTAGCAAAATTCAGATGAAATGGCATATATTGAACCACCACTGTTCACAACACACTTTTAAACATCAACTATTGACAATGTGGTTAAATATTAATATCTTATAAATGTTAGTTTACTTTTATTAAAACTACTAGGTGTTGCCAACAGTGAATTTTACTTAAACTTTATTATAAACAGTATTTACTTTGTCACAGATGGCTATGAATACTAACTTAATACAACGATTTCTGTTATCCTAGTTGTATTTGGTACAATGCGAGTCGCATACAGGTACAATTCGAGCCGCAAACTGTAAACCGTTTAAATACGAACTCTTATGCAAACCACGATCATATAATTAGTTAGTTGATGATGTAATGGTTTTTCTAGCCGATATTCAGTCTATAATCATGACCAAATGCTGCCCCATCCAAAATCTTTTATCGCTGGTCAAACGTTGCCCCAATCAATACCATCTGTGTATGTATGTTCGTTTCTCTGCATTTTCTCACTAAGAACAAGCAAATGTAATTAATAAAAAACTAATATATAAATTTATTTATATTAAAAAAAAAAAAATTAAAAATTAGATATTTTTAATTTTTTTTAGTTTGTTTAGTTTTGTTTATCTTTGTCTTTAACCTTTATAGAGTAAAAGGCTAAATTAAAAAATGTGAAAAATTAATATTATAAATCTAACTTGTTTTTCATATTTTATGTTTCATATAAAATCATTTGATTTTTATTCTATCTAACATAAATCCAATTAACTAACTTTATAAAAGCAGTTTTTATACCGTAAAAGCTTTCATAACTTTGTCTAACATAATTCCAATTAATTATCCTGAAAAAAACTGTGTTTACACCTTTCATATTTTTATAACGTTTTGAAAGATTTTTTGAGATTATGATTTTTTTTTAATATTTTTTAGTTTTGATTATAAATATATCTTGGAATAAAAATCTTCACGAATTTTTGAATTTACTATAAATCTATTGTATTATTGTGAATTTGGTTAATAAACATTGTTTGCGCTAGTAGTCAAATCGATTAAAGGTGATCTGTTTTTCTACGGGAACGGGATAGGAAAGAGAAAAATAATCACTTGAGCATGCGCAGTTTTAATTCGGACCAACTAAAACTTATAATACGCATGCCCACGTGATTATTTTTCCCTTCCCTTTCCCGTTCCCGTGAAAAAACGGATGAGTGGAAACTCACCTTAACGTATAATCACGTAGTAATTTATGAGTACGCTTTTGTGACTATTGTAACTATTACGAATTATCAAAAGTATATAACTTTGTATATATATTACAGGCCCGTACGAACAAAAATTATATGGGGGAGGAGGGAGGCAATACTACCTCTAAATAGTTTTAAGGACCTTTTTTAGTTCTAGTCATTTTTTCAGTAAATATCTTTAAAATTATTTATTTGAAAACTTATTGGAGAAGGAGGGGGCAAATGCCCCTGCTGCCTCCCTCCCGGCTGCTACGGGCCTGTAATATACATTTTAAAACTTTTTCCTTTGTGTAATAAAGTAGAAGAACTCTAAATCTTAAACATTAGTTAAAATATAAACAACGCAACATCTACATGACAACGTAGCCAATGACGCTTTGTCATTCTGATTCAGATATTAATAATAATATATGTGAAATATTTAATTTATTCGCAAGGTTGGAAATTTATCTGCTTCAAAAGCTTATAGCTACGCAAAAAAAAAAGGCTTATTTTTTAATTGCCATTATCAAAAAAAATAGATATCTTTGACGAAAATAAACTAGCTACCATGATCCAGAATTATGAAGTCAGTCTTGGTCGTCTCGTGGTCGAGCTAATAGTTCAATATGGAACTGCAAAGCCACTGACAGATTCTACGTTGACTTTGTAACGAGATCACGGAATCAACTTCAAAATGCTTGTTGTATTTTGTGCCGATGCCTGCAACACTTGCGGCACACCACTCAGCCTTTGTTTATTCATAGATGAGTTTTTTCCATGAATTCCCGGAATTCCGGAAATTCACTTTTAATTTTCCAGAAATTTCCAGATGTTTTTGTTATTAATTTGGAAAAAAAAAATTTTATTATTTTTATATAATATTTAATACTACTTTTGCATCTAAACAAACGTTTTCTATAATTAAAATTTTTACGAGATTAATTTTCGTAACAATTTTTTTTTTCATTCAAATTATTTTTTTCGAATATTAGAAGTTTCTTTTTGTAAAAAGTTAAATATTCTAAATTCGGTTTTAAAAGTTTACGAAAGTTCTTGTTGTCTGCTACAGGGTTATTCATTCTTATATGCGCGTCTATTCAAGAAATTTAATAATGTAATAAAATTATACAAATACATGCGTATTTATTCATTCTTATATGCGTTTTAAAAAAGCAATAAGAACAAAAAAAAATCATTTAAGCATTTTGTTTTGAAAAAACAATTTTTCTTATTTCCTGGTAAACGAGGTAAAAATATTTAAAACGAAGACTTTTTACATTCCATGATGGTTTATTTAATTTAGTATTAGGTCTTTGTATAATTTTATTACACTATTAAATTTCTTGATTGATTAAATTATTATTTATCTAATTACTCATTTATATAGATTTAAATTTAATTATTTATAATTATTATTAATATATCTATATAAAAATTTAAAAGCCTATTTATTGTTTATATTAAATTATATCAGAGATTTTATAGGTGGTTGACTCGCATATAAATGTGCATATTAGAATGAATAAACACGCATATAAGAATGAATAAACACGCATAAAAAAATCAATAGACGCGCATTGAAAAATACATAACCTGTAAAACGATCAATTTTTAATTAAATACCGTAAACGGGGGTGAATATGAACGCTTTTTGAACATTTTTGCATCATGAAAGAAAACTGTTGGCCTAATTGCAACCATTTTTTCTGTAACAGAACATTATACTATTCAGCTTCCTGTATTAGTCGTAAGCCTGATCAACACTATGCAGTAAATACCTTAGTTTTCTGGTTTTATACGAGCATATACGTATTTCCGAAACGGGGTGAAAATGAACGGCCAATTTGGGGTGACTTTGAACACTACATATTATTTCTATATTCTATATATCGCTATATTACCTTATTACAATGGGGGAAAAAACTGTTAAAGATCAAAACAGATAACATGAAGTTTATTTTACATAGAACATTTTTTTATTTAAACTAAGTTCATGTGAAAAATTAGCATACTATGTTTAAAAACTAGTTTTTTCAATATATTAACATGTATCACAATATTTACAAATCTGTTCCACATAAAAACAGAACATTAAATATCACTATCCTCAAATTTCTTCAAATGACTCATACATGCTGCATACAAAGTATAAGATATTTTCAATATTGAGCTCATAATAATCATCTTTATCATAAATGAGGCCACAACGCTGGAGGTGAAATGGTTTACTGCATTTGTCGCATTGAACCCACACGTCGTTGCTTAACTCTACCCATTTTTTGTTACAGAAAGTACAGTACCAATCATTATCTGTGTTGCTTTTTAGCTCTGTTGAACTTGATGGAATTGACTCAACTAAAGAATGAATTCTTTTACCTGGTACCACCTTTGGACCACGAGGTTTGCGTTTTGTAGTTGGATTTGTGCCTAACCCTAGATTGTTTTTTAGAATATCTAAAACAGATTCGTTAAGAACCATAACAGTGTCATTACCACCAGGGTCTTTATATTTTCCTGGAAGACGTTTTATAACCTCTGTTCTGTCCATAGGGTAGATTCCCGTTGCTTTAAATCCGCTAACCAAAGCTACTGGTCGCAAAGTATTATTTAGTTTATTTAAAAGCGTAGGTATGTTCTTTTGGGATAGCTCCTTTGACACGACTTTATGATCTCCACTTTAAAAGAATACTCCTCCACGACTGCTTTAATCCTCTAAAAACAGCAACATCTAATGGTTGGCAGAGATGAGTTGCATTTGGGGGCATTGTTATAAACTTGATGTTATGTTGAATCGTGGCTTTAATAACTTGAGGAGAAAAATGTGAACCAAGATTATCTCCTATCACTATCAATAGTGTTGTTCCGGCTTTTGAAATAGCAATAGGCAAATATATTTCCATAAACCATCTGGTAAACGTCCTACCATCAAACCACCCGTTAGGTGTGATGTCGTAAACAGTTCCAGGTGGTCCACCTTGAGTCCAACCCTGGTAAAGGTTCTTTGCTTTGTAAACTACCATGGGCGGCAAAAACTCTCCAACAGCAATGTAGTTTATAACCATACTTATTTCCTTAAAAAAACAATTTATGTTTTTTTAAGGAAATAAGTATGGTTAAAAACTACATCTTAACAAAAACAGGTAAAATAGTATATTATTTTATCGAATACTATCACTGATAGTATTCGATTTAAATATGTTCTTAAGTTGTGGAATGATTAAATTTAGTTGCTTCTTCGCTTTTGAGTTTAATAAAAGATCAAGAAAACATTCTTAGTAAAAACTTTTTACTAAAAAAAGAATCAAAGTAGCTTTTATGAAGCATAACCAACAAAGAAAAAAAAAATATAGATGATCAAACAGAGGTAACAATTATCATTATTATAAATTATTTTAGTTAACAAATAAAGTTTCCATTTCTCTAGAAAAGGTCTAGTTTTTGCTGGGTAATTACCCTGAGAAATTATGCATTTTTTCCTGAAACGTTGTTCATAAATTTTGGAATTTTGATTTCAATTTTCTGTAGAAAACATGTAAAATATTTTTTAGTGAATGCAAAATATTTAATCATTTGAGAAATTTTTAATGCTAAATGCGTTTAGAAAATTATGATATTTCATCATTAATTATGATATTTCATTATTATATTATGATACTTTATTATTATATTTCATTATGATATTTATGATATTTTGATATTTCATTTTTAATTCTAAATTTGTTAAGCATTTATTAGGAAATGTTATATTATTTTGATATTGAGTTTCGACATGCCTTGAGTAAATTGTTTATTTGAATTATGGAGTGTTATTTATTGTTTAAAAGTATATACTATTTTTTTTTAGATAAGTTACAATGAAACAAATGTAATATTTTGTTTACCTGAAGCCATTGTAACAACTTATTGATCAATTGTCAATGACTCTGCTTTTAATCAGAAACTTGTTGCAATTGCAGTTGATGAAAGCCATTGTGTGAAAAAGTGGTAAGTGATTTTGTTAAACATTGATATTTACAACTTTAATGTCAGGCCTGCTTGTAATACATAAAATTGTTTTATAGTTGAAAAATTTTGCTCATTGAAAAAAAAACGCATTACCTATAGCATTATATGAGCAAAATCTTGTGATTTACATGATTTTATTTATACCTTATTTGTATGTGATTTTTATAGGGGAAGTACACAATGAGATTTATTTTGGTCTCGTGATAATAGATTCTCAGAATTACGATCACTTGACCCTAAAAGAATTTCAGAATTGGCATTGACAGAAACTGCAACTAAACAAAAACGATAAACGATTTTAAATAAATTTTCATTTACTCGACTAGATTATTTATTTTTTAGTCGAGAAGGAAGCATCATAATAGCAGAGCTAATCGAGATCCCTTCATACTACTACTCTGACTAGGCAAAGCCTGCATTTGAACCTCCAATCCTGCTGCCATAGCCAATAATTATTCAGAACTTATAACAGTGCTTTAACCAACTGAGCTATCATTATTGATAATCTTTTTATGCATAATTTTGTGTTTATATCATCTACACCAGAAAGAAGAAGTATTAAATACAGCTTGATACATATTGACTCAGGAGATCCAGAGAAATTTTTCTACCCAGTTGTACCCAGAAATTTTTCTACCCAAGATATTCTTTTGAATACTTATTCAGCTAAAAGAACTTAAGTCTTTTCTACAACAATGACTGATGTAAGATCAATTTACTAATACTTTTGCAAAGAAGTAGGTGAAAAATATAAAAGCTATCTTGATAGACCATACGGTCAATTTCATTCCAAAAAAGATTTTAATAATGAAAAGTATTTTTATAATATATATAAATTTTTAAATTATATATAAAATAATACAAAACAAAAATATAAACAATCTCTAAACTTGATCAAGCTTCATTTTTTTGTTTAAAAATATTCTACTATTCGTTTCTTTTGCTATTAATGTAGATATCAATATTTTTGTGAGTTTTTTTTAAGAATTTCACAGCATCTTGAGATAGCATTTATATTTTTTTGTATTTTTGCTAATGTTCTTTTTACATGTGTATAGCATGTTTTACAAATACAATGATAATTTTTTGAATAAATTAGTTTTTCATTTGTGAAATTTCTATATTTAGGCCAGACTTTGTTATTTTTTGCTTATTATCCCATAGATTAATTTTCATTGAACCATCATCATAGAATGAATACTTTTGTGTGATATCATGGAGACATAAAATGCACACGTTTAATGAACTAGGAGGTACGAAAACCTCATAAGGATGTGCCCTTTTTTTTTGGCAATCGTAATGTTTGTTTTTTTTAAGCAATGAAACATTGTGATCATTGCATTGAAAATCAAACAACTTTTTCTCCATTTATTAAAAACTGGATACCATGTTGCAATATAAAAGTACACCAATACTTATAAGTATATAAAAAGCAAAACAAAATGTTTGAATTTAATAAATTAAATTTGAAGATAATCTGACTGAATTTGGCCACTACTTATGAGTAAAAAAATAAATAAATAAACGTATTTATTATTTTTATAAATCTGAAATCAGACAAAACATTAATGTGTCTTTTTTTAGTTTGAAAGTTAAAAATACGGATTAACAAAATATATAAGACGTATCTTAAGTTTGGTAAAATGGTTAATAATTTGTTGAAAATAGCTGATAAATGTTTTTTAAAAAGTTTACTACCCCCGTCCTTAAACCTGGTAAGCGTAAATATTTTTTGCCATTTTTTGACCAAAGTTTTCTCGTCTAACTTCCCAAAGTTCACTGGAAAAAAAAGTGAGACGAATTATCGTCTAAG